GTATTAGTATTTACATATAATGAATACTTGTATTATTACGTTGCCCTAATCGAGCTGCCTCGAGCCCTATTGCCTTCGTCTCTAACCCCAAATCTGGCACATGGGGCAGGCAAGTGGGGCGCTATTGTTTGGCAGCAGGCGGCAAAATTAGCACGATTTCCGCCGCAAATTTCTGGTGGGCCGGAATAACCCGTTAGGTGTACACAACTATGGCCAAGGCTGGGGCAGAGGCAGCAGTGGCAGTGCGGGCGTGGCTGGCGACCAACTTGCTAAATCACCGAAATCCGCATCTTTAGCATCTTAACGGCCAATTTGGCGGGTGGCGGGTGGCAGGCGGCAAGCGGCAAGTGGAGGGGAAGCACTGGGTGCACGCATAAGGGACAACAGCCGAGACAAAGACAGCGGGCGGATAATAATAAAAGATAATAAAACAAACGAAATGTCTGTGCGCCAAGGGCAAGCGAAAAGGCCTCCAAGACGGGACGCCCTAGCCCAGCCCAGCCCAGCCCAGCCCAGCCTAAATAAAAACACTTTGGGGAACAATAGACGCCCCTGCCCGTGCCGCCCCTCCCTTCACCGGCAAAGACAAATCTGACTGCGCTAAAGGCAAAAACTTTTGCGACACCTCGCAGCGTCCCCGGAGAGCCGCTAGGCGGCAGCTGAAGGAGCTGCGCGGCAGACGCCGCTGATGCTCTGCGTTTGTCATTCCATTGTTATTTAACGAGCCCCGGAGCCAGTGCCAACTCCTCCAGTTGCCTCCAGCCAGCGAGCGCTTCATTATCTACACGCCCCAACCTCCAGGCCCTGGCCCATTGTCTAGCGCCTGCCCCACTGCTCCACACTCCACACGTATTGTTTAATTTCGCGTGCCGCAACGCACAATTACACCGGGAACACAACAACGGGCGATGCGACCACGTCCAGGTGAGCAGCCGGAGCGAGTCACAAAAGCAGCTCAAATGCCCGTTTGCCCGCAAGACAAGAAAGAGTTTCGGATCGCATTCATAGAGAGTGCCGGAACACCCTCAGCTGAAGCTGGCTAACGCTTAAAGCTGGAGCAATTTCATGAGCTGCTATAGTCCAGTTTCAGGCAGAAGAATTCCTAAGCAGAGGTCCGAGCAGGCAACTGAATTGGCAAGAGCAGAAGCAAAGAGCTTGGCCATGGAAAACAAAAACTAGGAGCCCTAACTATATAGACAGAGGTCAAAAACTCATAATAGCATTAAGTCCCGCTTCGGATACTATATACACATGTATATGCATACAAGTAACTCCAGCTGAGGGTAAAACCATTCCCAAGTTTTATCTATAAAAAAGTTTGGGAATATAAACTCTCCAATTGAAGCCAAGAAATGCATAACAAAAGTCAATTCAAGTTTCGTTTAAATGTATATAAAAGATATAAAGATTCCTTCAATATTTCAGATAGTGCTCAGAAACTTCAGCAGAGAGCACGTAGGATATCGATAATACATAGTATGTGGATATAAAGTTTGTTTGATTAAATGATGTGAATTTGCTTCATGCAATTTGTTGTGTTAAGGCGACGATAGTTGGCGGCGTTAGTAGCGGTTCCGAGCGTGCTCATCTACCAGGGATTTGCGATAGAAGTGCAGTGGCTCCCACTCGGGGCAGGTGCTCGGCTGTTCGCCTTTGATGGTGCTGTCCAGATCTCTGGCCAGCTCCCTAATGTCTTCGTCCAGCAATAGGGGCACGAGCTGGCGTAGGACCTTCAGGTAGAGCAGATTCTCGGGCGCTTTCGAGTCGTCGACGGCACCGTCCGTGGCGTAGCGTATGCCGGCACGGTGCAAAATGAGCACAGCCGGGCGGGTCTTGACGACATCGCTGCTGAGCAGATGACCGAACTTTCTGGTCATGCTGAGCAGCTTGCCAAACTGAAGGGAGTTGCCTGCCTTGACGGTGCTGTCATAATCAGCCAGGATGCGCTTATACATCAGCAGGAGGCTCTGCATCAGCGTCATGCCGAACTCAGTTAAGTTGATGAACATGCAACGCTCCATGGTGGAAAGCAGAAGATCCGCGTAGAACGGATGGAACTGCAAGGAGAAATGTTCAGGAATATGTGCGCATGAATGACAGGCCGGATAGGCCAGCACGGCGAGCTCACCTCCTCATAGTACTGGAGTACACTGGCGGTACGCAGCATGGGCACAACGCTGTTGAAGCACAACTTGCAGAAGCCGGCCAGGACACGGCGTTTGCTGTGCAGCAGCACGGTCAGATCGCTTTCTTTCGCACTGGTCAGCTCGGCTTCCGCGGCCTCACTGAAGGCGTAGCGGATCGCAAAGTCTTCCAGGGTCCTCAGCTCATGGACGGACGGCTTGTACTGCAGCGAGCACAGGGCAGGGTTGCCGCTGTGGGGCAGATTGTCCGAGAACAGCACCAGCAGATCACACATGGAGACGAAGGCCTAGAGAGGAGGAGTAGGAGGAGAAGGAGGAGTCTGTTGGCTGCGCAGCACAAAGGAAATGAGTACTCACCTGACAGCGGATTTTCTCCTCGCTGGAATGCTCGATGATGTGCAAAGCGGCCAGGAAAAAGATGTCCAGCTGCTCGGCCAGGGCCAGGCATTCGTCATCCACCTGGTTGTCGGCACTGGCCGCCTCCTGGATACGCTTCAGATCCCAGCAGACGGCTACGTAGCATATTTCTAGGCAAAGACCCACCGCCTCATCGCTGAACGTCGCCTCCGGCACGTCATTACCTTTGACGGCCCGCTTCAGACTCACCTGCACGGAGTTCTTCACCTGGAATTCGCACAGATTGAAGCACTCGTAGACCGCCGAGACGACACGCAGCGCGATGAGCAGACGCTTGCTGCACACGTTGAGGCGCGACTTTTGCATTTTCTTGACTGAGAGCCGCCAGGCGCTGTCCGCTTCCAAGTAGCTGATCGCAGCTCGCTCCATCAGCTCCTTGCGGATGTTGACGGAGACCTCCTCGTACTTCGGGAACAGATGGAGCAGCGTCTCGGCACAGTGCTGCATCACCTCTAAGTCGGTGTGCTTCAAAATAAGCAACTTGATCTGATTGAGCAACTCCTCGGCCTGCGCGTTCGAGCAGTTCATGTGCAGCGGCAGGTCCAACAGGAACTTCATTTGCAAGGGCTCCATGCGGTACTGGCGCAGCAGAGTTGTCAGGACCGGCAATATGATGGTAGCTACCTGCTCGTCCGCTTCGACCAGGGGCAGATTCTTCAAGGTGGCGGTCTCTCGACCAGGCGGCAACTCCCCGGTCACTGCTTGTCTGACACTACGGGCCATGATCTCAATGATGACGGTGACCTCCTGGTACGTCAGGTTCTCTGGGCTCAGCAGCATCTCCACCATCGTGGACCAGTCGAGCAAACTGTCGCTGACGCCGTAGAAGGCGTCGATCAGGTAGGGGATACGCTCGTGCCCGAAGAACTTGATGAAGAGCCTAGCCAGCGCAAGCATGCGAGAGGTTGCGGTGGGCCTCTCATTGAATCGAACGTGCAGCAGCTGGGCCGCCGCCTGAGCCACGCTTCGGTCTATGGCAAAGGCCATCTGCTCGATTATCTCGACCATTTCATCGTCGATCACCTCCGGCATGACCCGTTGAAAGGTCACGAGCAGCTGAATCGCCATTTCGGACAGGGTAGCGTCGGAGCCCAGACTGAGGCTCAGCAGGCTCATCCGGAACTTGTAGCCCAGCTGAAGGCAGCCCGCACGCAGCTTCGGCTTCTTCTCCAGCCTAACAATCGAGTACAGGCTGGCCTCCCACACCTTCGTGGAGCAATCCTCAAACGCCTCGAACAGATGCAGTAAGCGCGTGCGACTGATGTAGCTCTGCGGAAACTTGTTCAGCCACACGCCGCACTCGGCCACGCACAACGATCGGATGTCATCTGCGACATCGCGTATGCGCTTGAGGAACACCCCCCCGAACAGATTCAGCCAGAGTGCGTGCAGACGATCGTCCTGCAGCACTATCATGTCGTTCAGCGCGGTCATCATCTTCAATGCTGCAAGTAAACGCGGCTATAGCCTCAGATAGAACAACCCACCGCACCGAGAGCCCTTACCGACGAGGGTGCTCGTGCGCCGCAAGGGCAGCACGTCCGAACCGGAGGCGACAGTCAGAAAGCTACTCATGTCCCGCAGGAACGAACTCTGCAGAATCACAGACGTGCTGATGAGAGTGTGCATCAGCTGATCCAAGAAGCTCGAAGCGTCCATGCCACAGCAGCGCGAAGAGCGCACCACCAGCGGAAAGCGCTGCATCTTCAAATTGACAGTTTCAATATGCAAATGATATTATTATGGTTATATTATTATTATATTAAAGTAGTGCGAGCTGCGCATGCGCAGCAGATATAGCTGAATCCTCGAATTGGAGAACTCAAAATACAGGCATGAACAAATTAACTAATACAAAGATTCATTCTAGAATCTAGATAACGGTGTGCGAGCTGCGCATGCGCAGCAGATAAACCTGAATCCTCTAATAGGAAAAGTTAAAATAAAGGCATTTAAATTATATTTAATGCAAAGATTCATTCTAGAATCTAGGAAATTTCGTATATAGCTCTCCACATTTATTCTAAAGTGCGAGCTGCGCATGAGCAGCAGCTATAGCTGAATCCTCTAATTGGAAACTTCAAAATACAGGTATAAAGAAACTAACTCTAACTCTTTAAATTATATTTAATACAAACTCTAATTGAAGAATCTAGATAAGTTTGAGTGTAGTCCATGTTAAAGGAGTGCGAGCTGCGCATGAGCAGCGGCTATAGCTGAATTCTTGATCATATGAAAGTACTTTTTCGATGTCTTCAGATATATCATATGGATTGACTATATATTGACTAAAGTCTAAATAGATTTTTAATATATTCTTTGCGCTCAGTTTAGGGTTTCTTTGATCTGAACTGAAACTCTTATTGAAATTAATTTCGGGCCTTTCATATACCATGTCTATTCAGTCACATTCTTGATCTACTTACATGCTCCATCTTAGCATTGCCCGTGTTAACGAAGATGCCAGTCTTGAATGGCTTTCTTTTCACCTCGGGTATTATAAAGTCTCTCTCGCTAGCCTCCAAGACGAACTCCATGAACTTGACAAGCGCTGCCTCGGGCTTGGATACAGACAGCTGGACGAATTCGTTGCAAATGTCCTAAGAAAAAGCAACGAGTAAGAAATACAAATTATGTTCAGCAATTAAACCGAGCAGCGAGTTGTGACTGCATTTGTGGTTATGTTCATTGCGTACCTCCGGGCTCTTCGATCTTTTGCGCAGTAGTTGCAGCAGGCCATTCTCCATCTCGTCATCAGTGGACGACATGTCGGATTCACATTCTAGATTCCTGAGCTTCTTGCTGCCTCTTTCGGAGCTGCCGACAAAAGCACAGAGTTTTGACAGAGACTTTGCATAATTAGTTTGCAATTTACCTTTCCAAAACATCCTCTTCGTCCTCTAGGACCTCGCAAGGTTTATCAACCTTTTTACCATGATTATTCATGTTTTCGATCAAAGTTTTACTTGAAATAATTAAATTTAATGATTAAAATCAAATTCAATTTCAGCCACACCAAGCACGTGCGAGTTAAGCGAGCGGAAAGAAAGAGAGCGTTGCCATCTCTAGATAGGCTAGAGATGGGCGAATATCGTTACTCGTTACTCGTTACTATGCGATGCGCAGCGAGAACGAGTAGCTGCCAACGGTTGAGCTTTTCAGCTAAACGATAGCTCAATGCCTATTGTATCTATAAATTACCAATAAATGGATTTCCGATTACGATTGGAAAAAAAAAATATCGTAGTAGGGCTTGAAGCGATTTCGAGAGTAATTTGGGGCAAACGGAGCTAGAAATTCACTTTTAGTTAAAATATCATATCGAACACATGACATAAAAAAATTAAAAAAAAAAAAATAAATAAAATAAAAAGCAAAAATAATAAAAAAAAAAAGTTCAAACCATAAATTTTTCTTCAAATTGCGATAAAATTGTTTAGGTACGTGCATCCGTTACTATTATTTGATTTACTTTCCGACTGTCTGGCCGATTAAGCTCTGCGCGTGAATAGATCATCGGTAACTCTTAATGTGAAGATATTTTGGAGCACTTTCCGGGTGAGTCACGAGTGCATGAAATGTACTTATTGTCACTCTTAACTGTCAAGCGAGGCATCGAGTAGAATTGGCAAACCTCTGTCTTTGCTTCGAGTCGTCGAAGAGTGCATATCCCTCGGAGTGAAGTCGCTTTATTTTCCTTATTTTTTCATTTTTTTATTGTTTGGAGTTGCAAATTTTTCATTTCGTTTAATTTGTGTTGATTTTCGAAGTTCAATTTATTAACGCGGTGTGAAATTGTTGAATTGCTGAAATATTGTGCGTGCATTTTGTCGGTAAGTTAGAAAGAAGTTGTAACATTTTTCTTATTCTTTTTCTTTTTCTTTTTGTCTCCCCTTTTTCTTCCTTTTTTTTACGAGCTGTCAAATGAAAAATCGAATGATCTAGTCGTCATTTTTATTGCAAGTCACAAGTGAAACATTTCGTGTGTGTGATTTTATTCTATTATTTTCTTTTTTTTTCCGGCTTTTTTTCTGTTTTTTCATTTGTATCAAAGGAAAGGACTGAGGCGCTGCACATCGTCTTCCGATTGACTTTCATTAGTCGTGCGAACTCGGCGAAATCAAGAGATTTGCATAATTGGAAACTGATGACGTGGCCCGTTCCGGCCGTCTGGCCCTGCGGTAAGCTTCTTCGCATTTGCAAATCTATTTGAATTTTCGGTTAGTTGAAAAGGGAAACGGGGCGGGGGAGAGGTGCGGCTAAGCGCTTAGGCTTCATTAGCTGCGTTTTTCTGCGGGCTGCGTTTTTCGATTTTCATCAAAAAGGGGACAGCTGGGGCGTCGGATGCCGGATGCAGGATGCCGGGCAACCGGAGCCCCGTTCTGGCCGCTGTTGTTGGACGGTGTTGATTTTCACACAACGCAGCGTGAAATTAGAAATCAACAACGTGTCCTTTCGCCAACAGATTCGGTGAGCTGCGAGTTGCAGTTAAGGGGGGAGGGGGGCATGGCCGTGCTTCAGGTGTGTGTGTGCGTGTGTGTGTGTGTGCGTGTGTGTGTGTGTGCGTGCTGGACAAATCAGTTTTGACTGCAGCTGCAACGCTGCGGTCAACGTCTGCCGTTGACAGACCAAATTAAAATGTCCTGATGCCATGTTCTGCCCCATCTATCGCTGCGTTTCATCTGTCTGCCACGGTCTATGTGCGCCTGTGTGGGTGTGAGTGCTCTGTGCTTCAGTTAATGACCAATTTGCCAGGCGCAGTCGAAAGCCACTCACACTGTCTGTCATCCAGCCTCGCAATCCCAGCCAGCAGCTGTCGCAATTCGCGTTTCGGATTTGCTTTACAGCGTCGCATTCATCAGGCTCGGGCTGCCTGTGCGATAAATCTTAAAGTTTGGAAAATTGGCAAGCAAATAAAATACGGGCCTGATAAGGCAACAAACAACAACAACAAACAGCGGCAACAAACAACAGGACAACAATAACAATCGCTTGGAGAATTACAACATGTCGCATTTTGTAACGAAATTTGAATAAATTTCAAATTCGTGAAGCTTCGCCAGAAAGTTGACTCTCAGCTACAATTAACTTTTAAGTATAGCATTTTACAGATACCACTGATATCGTCTAGATATACATATACACAAGCCCAAGCCGCATTGTTGTTCTTGTTCCGCACCCCCACACCCGCACAGGCAAACACGTTCGCGGCCTTGTGGTGCGAGGGGTTGGCAGCTTGAAAATAATTTCATGCAATTTATCATGTCACAGCAGAGCCACAAGTCCGACGAGAGGGCCAAACAACGACTACTGCATGCTCTATAATATGAACTTCGGTAGATATTGAAGTGCACATAGAGTATGATATAGCGAGTCCCTGGCAGAAGTGAGCTGGCTCTGCTCTAACTGCCAGCCGGATAGATAAATTTCCAATTAGACAATTGGAAAGCACAAGCTTAATTTTCTCTCATCCAGTCATGTAGCAAAAAAACACAGTTTTCTTTATAAGTTATTT